CCCCCTCATTTAGGGGCAGTTTACATTAGTACAGTATTTTTATTGAACGCTCCCATACGATGAAAGCACAGTTTTTTGCAATCGCATTGGAGCACACGGCCTTGTGGTAATGCTCATTCCAGTGCAAGGAATCACACAGCACCACAACACACCTCCCACACCAGAATGCAGGGTAGACACCATTGCACTTGAGGTAAAAATACACTTTCTGGCAACTTGTACAGCTCACTTCAGTGGTCAGGCTTATAGGAAAGCCATACCAATGGTTCGGAGCCGATATTGCTGTAGCATAGCATACACTATGAAGGAATCATTGAATAGATCCCACCATAAATCCATTACCATGCTGTATATTAAGCGGGATTCGAACCTACAGAGCCTTATGCACGCCCAGATTTGTCACACAGAGCAGCTAACCGCTGGGCTATCTCTGCCGTCATAAGCAGTTCAATAAACAACTGGTCTATCTGCCTATCTGCGTGTATTGAACAGTCTCCTCACCCAGCACAACTGAAGGATGGGTTGCCTCAGCGCATTGCTCGCGCCTCGCAAAAAACAAGGGCAGCGTTTAATTTTTTTTTAAGCCATTATTTACATTGCTTGTCTATTACCTATCTCCCTCAATACCATTCATAGTTTCAAGTGAATACAATCATTAACAGCGTCTGTAACAAGATTCGTTGTCATAATTTATAAAACGATGAAAAGGAACACTCACCCCTACAGTTCGCCGCAAAAAGCAAAAGAGCCACCAACAAACTAAACACTCCTGCCATGATCCCAACCTGCACACAGACACGCTGCTAGAAAATCGTCTACGGAAGAGGGAGGAGTCCCATTTGGCCACCTCAGCTTGAAACAAAAAGCGTCATTAGCTTGGAATGACGACAGCTACCAAGTTTTTTTGTGACATTTTTTGTCTGTGATGGCAAAAATTTCCAAACGTTGAAATGAAATTGTATTGCAATTGAAATTTTCATAGAAAAAAGAGCTTGTAAAACGTCATGGACATCGCGACCACACATTGTCTTGGTAAATATTTATTTGCCAGTCTTAAACATGGCGTTTAGTCACTTCCTGCCAAAGCCGAAAGGAAGCTGTAAAAATAATTTCTACGCGTAGGTTGATGCATGCGCACTGAATAGAGTTATTTGTCTGTGGTATTGTATCTTTCAACATGGCTGGCCGAGCACTGTTTGCTTGTTACAGGTTCCTTCTGTCTCCTCTGCATATTAGGGCCGGATTCAGGCAACAGGTAAAGGCCAAATATTGTACACTTTGTAGTATGGCTATTGCATTAATTCTCCATGAGTTTACTTTTAGGGTTGATAAAATGTATTGCATATTGATTTTCTTTCTCTGTCGGCATAGTAGGTGTGCTTGATGTGTCATATTAAAGGTCGTTCAAAAAAGTTGTCCAAATACAATCTCATTTCGATCATTTTGTCTTTTAGAATAGCTGCAGTCTGCCCTTGACATTAAGGTGGAGCTATTGGCAACATTAAAAAAAAAATATAGGGCCAATTTGACACTTATCAAAAGCATGAAAGTAGATCTGAAGACAATTTTATATATTTTTTAGTTTTTATGTAATGGTGGTCTTCCTTCCTCACCCC